GGGCACAGTGAGTTTTGAGAAGGAGAGCTGTTGCACTGCAGGTACCAGCTCAAGAACCTTTGAAGGACTACCACAACCTGTAAATACCAATTTTTCACAGTTTTTGCACACTTCTGTAAATAAATTCACAAACACTATTTTTGATTACCCCATATTATTTATTTTTGTTAAAAAGAACCCACGACACATACACTACACAGAAAATAGTACTATTTCTATGTTATAAGTATGCATTGACCAGCATTTTTTCTTCTGTTTTGTTTTGTTTTTTCTTTTTTCTAACTAATAATACAGTTTTGACCAAGCTTGGCCTACAGAAACAGTGTGATGTGTCCTCCTCCGTTCTGCGCTTGGCTTGGTGCTGTCTTGAGCTCTCCTGTGTGGTTGTTAGATTTGAACTTGGCAGATTCACCTGCTGCAGACTTTTATCTCAGACAGAAGAGTTGAAGATGTCAACTTTAAAAATGTCTCCAGTGTTGTGGAACAAAACTCTGCCAAGGCCCACAAGAGCTGGTAAAGTGTAGACTTGAGTAAGGTTGACTGCACTTAACTCATGTACAAGTCATGGCAGTATTAAGATGAGAGTGCACTTAGGGAGATACATGTATGTCCTCTGCATTTGATCTATCTTTCAGTACCACTAGGGTAGGGTGTGCAAATTTTTAGATCAGGAGTAGCTGGAAGATGGAACTTTAATGGAGGTTTTAAGATAATTATAGATCTACAGTATTATCTTTGCAATTTATGAATTTGACACATAATAATTAGTTTGAGAAAAGAAACGCTCACAATAAAATGAGAAAACTGCTCAAAATGCAAGTTCTGTACTGGAAAAGTTATAGGAAAGGCAAAACAAAGTTATTGTATAGTCATGTTGTGTGGGTGCTGAGCTTGAAATGATGTTCACAAAAGGTGCACTATGTAACTTTTCTAGCACCAGACAAAGTTACATACATGTCAGATCTGTGGAGAGGTGAACCTGCTCTCCAGACTGTTTGTTTTTCCATGTGTTTTTTTATAGAATGTAATTGAATTAATGCAAATCAGATCAGTTTAATGCCATACTGGAACATTCTAGGTAGTGTTGTAGTCAAGACCGCACTAATCTAGACCAATACCAGTCCAAGACCACAGGGTCCTGAGACTGAGACAAGATCAAGACTTTTAAAGGTCGAGACCAAGATAAGACCGAGACCACGGCCCATCGAGACCGTCTTTGTCATTTTCTACATTTATTTGGATTTTACTGTTATTTTGGCACATATATATCAATGTTTTTTGTTTTTTTTTAAATATAAATCTATTTCCATTTTATCTGATTAATGTTCATTTAAGCTTAAAATAAGCCAAACAAACTGAACTGCACTGAAACACTCTGCAACCCTTTTTTGGACCCTCACCCACAGTTTGAGAACCCTTTCTTTAAGAGAACTTACACTGGCACTTTACTGAAAACTGTGAAGAAAATGAAGAAAGTGGGTAGAATTATTGAACCAGTTTTTTCAAGTTTCTTAATAGAATTACAATCTCTTACTGGTTTTGCAGCGGTATTGAATTTTGGCACATTTACCAAACACCCGTCGAGACAAAAACAGATCCATTTATGCCCTTTTATTAGGCAAACTTCAACCACATCATGGTAAGAAGTTTATTGCAGCTGTAATGAAACATGATCGCACTCGTCGAGTGTCAGACCTCTAGTCCGAGACAAGACTGAGTCCAAGTGCCTTCGAGACCGAGACAAGACCGAGTCCAAACGAGGTCGAGTCTGAGATGAGACCAAGACACTAACAAAACTGTTTTGAGGCCAGACTCGAGTACTGTGATACTAATTGTAGGCAGTGATACTATTTCCATGGAGACAAGCAGGTGGCAAAACTCCAACCAGAAAAGTTACACAGTGCATTTTTATTGGAAATGAAATCATGTACATTGACCACAGGTGTCTGAAATCACCTAAAAAGGACAATAAGAACTTTCAGCGCTCTGGTACAGGTGGCTAAGCTGTGAAACATAACTGCTGAGAATTGTGCTATGAAAAATACATGACATCCACTTTAGTTGGACACAGTTTGTGCTGTTCTGAAGCTTGTGATCTGCATCTTGTTTGGACCTAATTGTTCGGTAATAGAGAAACCCTGTGCAGAGAAGGGATACCAGTTAAAGTGATGAGGCTGACATATCACACTCCTCATTACACGTACAACTGTTATCTTGTAAATGGCTGATTGATGAGCTGGAACTAATTGTCATGTTGAAGCAATCCAGGCCCATTTGTGTAACCCTATTCATACATTATCTTTTTGATGCTTTTATGGAAGGTTACGAGTATTCAATGCAAATCAGAGTCGAAATTGTAGCCACTATGAGCCTTTTATGGATACCCTTTGATTAGTTGTCAGTTAAACACCTTTACTGTATCGTATAATAGACCATTCAGTCACATTCATTCAGTATGGATAAAAGTACAAATGTAATGGAGGGCAAATGTTATTTTTTGCCTAGAATGTTCCATAATTTAGCATTAAACACATATCACCATAGAGTCAAGCCATCATAGCAAGTTACAGGTCAGATCTGTGAAAAGGCTACCCCATTCACAGTAAGTTTTGACACTGCAGGCAAAGCAGCAACATCTCCATGGAGACATGCAGCTAGAGGACCCCAATCAGAAAATGTACACAGTGCACCTTTAATTCACATTTTTTTCAATGGATGAGATAAGAGATCTATGAAAAAAATACTTGGATATTTGAGGTTCCTTTGCCAAGACACTATTTGCTTACCATAACTTTGGGCAGACATAAACCGCTGCATAAAACATTACTAATGCTCAGTGGGCATTACAACCTCGGTTAATATTTATAGACCCTTTGCTACCCTTTCTCTTTATAGCGGTGCAAACTAAACAAACTTCGTTTGAATAGACAGTAATAGATTTTCAAATAATGTATTCATTTTAAGTCGTGAAATATTTATGAATAGCAAAATGGCTTTACCAATTAGGAACCAAGCCACAACGTACCGGTATGTGAGGGTAGAAAACATTGGAATATGTATCTGTTTTGTTATTGCTAATGGCACTACTGGATGCATGTCAATACACAATACTGCTATACAAAGCTACAGCACTTCTCAGCTGTAAAATGTGGATATCAAAAAATGCCATCAAAATATTTAATTTATTTTGTGGAAGTATATTTTGCTGATTATCCTTTATTTTGGTCTTATATAATAAAACAGATCACTGTATTAACTTGAAACCTAATTGTCTTATAGCGTTAAATAAGGACTTCCACTATATCTACATAATGTACAAGTTTCACTCAGAACTAACCATCCACTTGCTCTTAGCTTAGACCTTCACAGTTTTACATTTAATCTGTATAAAATGACTACATGACTTTGCTTTTCACTCAGACTCTTGTTTGACTGTGGCGCGTGATGTGTTTATGAGAGCACCATTACACCATCGGCTGAAATTAAATAATGCAGCAACTTCTGCAGCTTCCCAGAAAATCACTGTCCATTACTGTCTCACAAACCTGCTCTGTGTGTGCTCCCTGCATTACAGACAGCACAAACTTTCCTTGTTGTAAATATACATACTCGTGTTTTGTAGGTTGGTTTCTTTATTGCATGCACACAAAATACCTTGATAAACAGGTATTGTTACTGTGAATGGGGTCGCCTCTCCACAGACTTGGGCTGTACATGAGAATGTTGGTCCAATGAGAAAAAGTATGATTGCTGTTTTGATTTTTATTAACTCAGTAATTACAGCATTGCCCATCAACCAGGCTGCTGTTGTATCCTTTGGCAAGACACTCTACCCATCTTGACTGTATGAATATGTATGAAGCTTAGCACCGAGTTTGGGGAGTGAATGAATAATGCAAGACATTGTAAAGTGACTTTGAGAAGTGGCATTTGATAAAGGGCTAGACTTGTGCTTGCCTCATTTATTATCTTATTCATAAGAAGTGTTTTTTGCATTTTATTGCATTTTTATTCACATTAAAATACAAAATTAGCCAAATAAACATGATAATTGGGAATAGGCAGATGAAGTAATACAAGTCATAAGTGTGAACTCCGATCAACATATTACATAATACCATGTCAGTGTAAGTGTAACATGTATGTGCCATTTTGTGTTGTCTAAATACCAACATTCTGTCTTTAGCCTTGAAAATACGCACTTATTTTGTGCTATTAATTTCATATATTTGCATAGTCGGGCCACTGTCCTCCGAGTGTTACAGACAGATGGCCTGATACTAATGAACCAAAGTTACAACCCAGATGCCTTTGAGCCCAACCAGCTCTGAGGTATAATATAAAATGAAAAATACACAGCATTTTGACTGTAGTCTTTCTCAATCATGATGTTAAAGTTTGCATATACCACTTTTATCTTGTGAAAGAGCTTCTAATCTAGATGTATATATAGATTAAATAAATACATACATTTATTTTTCTGAGTATATTTTTGAAGTAGCACAAACTCAGACAAATTCAAGTGTGTGCTGTCTGTTTTATATCACCATAGTAAACATTAACACGGAAGAGAGAGACGTGTGCATAACGCCTTCACACTTGCCCTTTTTTGCGGTTTGACATCAAATAAAAATAAATAAATTATAAATCACTTGTTTTATACAAAGATAAAGCAACATGGTCGTTTTATTCACCTTGTAGCGTTTGGGGCCCACAAATCCGGATATGTATTTTTTGGTTGCATCTTTTTCCATCACTGCAAATGGATCCTGAGTGGTAGTTACATTGTTTTATTGAGAAAATGAAATGGCTTCTTCTTTTTGAGATTTTGAGACTTGTACTCGATTGATTTTTGTGTTGCAGAAGACTTTGTCCTGAAATCCACTTGCAGGCAATCCATTCATCAATTAATAAACATTAAGCAGTGGCCACTAGAGGGCAACATTGACAACTTTCCCCATATCTCTGACGTTTCCTTTTTTCTGTGTTTTTCTTTTTAGGGCCAAGGTTTTCAGAGGAAAGAAGGCCCTCGGGGACTACGACATCAAAGTGGAACAGGTATGCACCCAAAATACTTTCAGAACTTACATGATTAGTCAGACTTACTGTGACTTCAAAGGTGCTTTATACATATAAAATATGACACTGTTTTACTTTACTTTAGTTTTGTTTAGTAATCTTTCACTTGCCAGCTGAAACCGAATATATCTTGTTGTATGTTTAAACATTCACTTTAAACATACAACTTCTTTCACGTCGTTTCACACTATTTAAGTCAAGCTAAAGTGCATGTCAGATCTGTGGAAACTGACCTCACTCACTGTAAGAACTCAATGCCTGTTTCTGAACTAACTATAGTAACTAACTGAAAAATTGCAACATTGACAGGTAGATACCAGGCATCACCATAAAGACAGGCAGATAGTGTAATCCAAACCAGAAAGTTACATAGTGCATCTTTATTATCTTCTCATATGATCCTGTGCTTTTATTATTCTCTTCTACCAGTAAATAATGGTAGTTTTGTTTTGTTTAATCAAATCAAAGTCTATAATGAGTCATGATCACAACCAGGAATAGATACTTTAATCTTGTGTATGCCTGTCCACTCTACAGTTCCACAACTAATATAATGTGACAGAGAAGCCACAGCCTGAAGTGTGAGCACAGACAGCAGCAATGGGCCATGAGTGGTAGTCAAACCTCAGTAGGACCAGCTCTGTTCACAAGAAGAGCTTTCAAGTGGTCGTAATTTATTAAATAATAAATAAATAAATAATAAATAAATAAATTCTGGTGGAGGGTCAGCGATCTGTGGTCTCTATGTAGATGTGATTGTTTTGCCTGGAATGCTCCACATTAATATCTAATGTACATTTATTCATCACACGCTTGTCTTCATCAAAACAAGGTTTATGCAATACTGTGGAACACTCCAGGCAAAACAATAACATCTGCACAACCATGGAGACAAAAGATCGCTGACCCTCCACCAGAAAAGTTACTATGATTTCAGTATAGGATGGCCTCAGGGTCAAGGCACAGCACACATGTTACTGTGCCAGTCTCAGGTTTGTGAGGTCAGTTTCCAACTTTGAGCATTTGCTGAATGTCTCTCCCCTCTCTTCCTTCATTTTACTTAGTTTACTGTCTAGTCATGGACTAGTTTTGTTATAGCTATTTGTTTTTTGCAGGCAGAGTTTTCGGAGGTGAATCTTGTGGCTCATTCTAATGGCACCTGTAACATCGACATGCAGGTCATCAGAGGAGGCACCAAAGTGGTCAGGTACGCAACACTGTCCCTTTTATTAACGTGTTATTTCATCTCAAACATAGCTGATATATATAAAGTTGCTAAGTTGTGCTATATAAAGAAATTATACCACAGCCAGTGAAAATTCCAGTGGCTAACCGTGTGTGCCATGTGTTAATACTGCATAATGCACAAGTAGTTCGGCAACAGCCAAATCGCTGTTCTGTATCACTGTTCTGCCATGACATCACCACAGCAATGGATAAACACATGCACAACTTCTGTGAGTAGAATGTAGGGACTTGCCTCATTTAAAACACAGAAATAACTAATCTGAGACATTTACACACATGAAACAGGCTTTTCAGATTCACAGGAGACAGATTTCAGTTTGTAGCCGTGTTATAAGCGCATTAAACAACTTCATGCCGTGTGTTCTGCAGTTTTAACGCACTTTGCGGAGGAACACCACTCTGCTGAGCGTGTTCGATAACTCTACGGTGTGCATTAAAACTGCATAAATAAAGTGGATTGGAAAGTTTTTAATGTCAGTGAACAAACCCTTTTGTGACTCCACCTGTAGCACGTACACAGTCTAATTACTAATGATTACAAAAATAGCTCAAGTCTCTCACCTTAGTTTGTTTTTCTTTGTTCTCATCTTTGCCCACACACTTCCTGAATGTCGTAGTTATTTAATGGGAGCATTTTTGTGATGACATTTGGTCGCGCCAGGATCAGTGGAGTATGGTATTTAATGATCTCTCACATTAGACAGATGCCAATAGGTGAAAACAGACCTGCCCACCAACTGTTGCACCAAATGCTAACCTGTTTTTGTTTACTTTTAGAATTAATTATTAAAAGGAGCAGTTTAAAAGAGAACTAAGTAGCTATAAAATAATTGATATTATAATATTGAAATAGCACATACTATGATAAAACATGTTTTTTTCACAGTTTAAAGAGCCCTTATTACACTGTTTTCTGATCTGCCCTAATGTTGTTTCCTCATCACAAGCATAGCCAGAGTTGTGTTTTGTTTCATTCACACATGTTTAACATACAAATCCTTCATATTTAGGCTCAGTTCTTCTCTCATACAGAAAACACTTTGTATATCACCTTATGATGCCATGTGGTAATACAGGAAGTGCTCCACTATGTTTTTAAACTCCATACACCTTCATACTCCATACGCCCTGGAAATGCCAGTCTCTACTGGACTAAAGGTAAAAGCTGTGAACTTGAAAACTACCATTTCATGACATCACAAGCTGCAACAGAGCATTTTGAGCTTTGGAGATGTGGACAGACTAACAATAAAAGATTGTGTGAATGAAATAAAACACAACTGCAGGTATGTTTTAGATGAGGTAAAAAAGGTTAAAAAAAAAAAAAAAAGGTTTAAAGCATCCGAGACAATTTTGCATAATATAGATCAATACTAATGCAGAGTGCCTGATGAATCACTGAATAAGTGATTGGGCTTTATAAGGACTATGTTCTCTAAAGCCGGATGTAACCTGTGTTGAATTGATTTTCTTAAATCATTTGAGCTTCAGAAATCATTGCCAGACTTGAACCTTTGCACCTGTTCTATTTGTCTTTTTAATTGAGTTTTGTTCATTGATTTAGACTCAAAGTCAAAGCAGCCATTTTCTTTGGGCTATGCGTTTTCATCCACATTCTTTTGACCTCACACATCATGACTTTTTAATATGATTTAACAGATTAAAAAAATTAAGTAGTTTGTGGTTTGTTTGATGCACAGACAGTCAAACAGTATTTATAGATTATATTAGAGTGTTAGAGTACAGTGTGGAATATATCAGGACTAATATGATAAAACTATGATTAACCAATAAAAGACAAAATTAAAAGAAAAAAGAAACATGCATTTGGAAGTCAAAACATCCAAAAATTGTATACATAGATTTAGATGAATTTGTGACTTCAAATTGATTTGAATGTAAATGTGCATGATATTTTCTTTAGGTTTTTTCTCATTTTTTTTTCTCATGACCGGGTATTTATGACAGAATAAGATTTTAATTTTAGACTTTAAAAGCATTCTTGTAACTGTGACTCCATCCTTCAGTGCCACTGGGGTAACCTGCCAGGAGCAGAGGGTGACCTATCTCCAGATCTGGTTAGACTTGGTCAGGACTATCTTAGCTGGATGATCTTACAGTTGGCAAAATCACAATATTTCACAATATTACACTTTCACAATACAGACAAAATTTACAGAATTACAGAATTTATCTCAAGACCTATTAAAAGAAAATGATTGTAACGCTGTGATCATAACACTTAAGACAGTGGTTCAACTTGAAGTGTCTGTTTTAATGAACACATCACATTGATATAAACAGCATTAGTTCCTCACAGTTGGTCATCAGTATTCAGAAGATCACAAAGAGGAGCTGCCTTCACACTGGGCCACACACTCCCCTCTGTCTGAGAACTCATTTCATAACAGCTCTCTCTCTCCTCTTTTCTCGCTTTTCTCTCTCTCGCTCCTTTTCTTTCTCTCTCTATCTCTCCTCTTTCTGCTCTCTCTTCACTCTCTGTTACTCTTCTACCTCTGACATAATACAGAAATATAGCAGAGTCATGACCCCATCCTGGCAAAATTAGTAGAGTTTTTGCTCTCGTTCAACCATTTTGAAAGAGGTTTTCTCTGCTGCAAAAAAAACTTTTATAAAATGAAATCATCCTCGCCCAGTGTATTATATTATGGGCCATTTATTTCATTTTATAGAAATCACCATCAGTTTTATGTTATGAAAAGTGCACTACACTGTGGACACGTGCTGGGAAAGTGAATTTGATGGTATTGTGTGATACCATCTGCTCCATCAACATCACACAATGATATATTAATGATTTGAATCTTGAACAATATGGCATATCTATTTCCACAGAGATAAGCAGATACCACCATCAGGCCAAGTTACATGTCAGATATGTGAAGAGGCAACCCTCTCACAGTAAAAATGCATATATTTTGGGGTATTTTTTAATCAGTAAAACATCTATTTTGGAATAAATACTACAGATACAAATGTTGTGGAACATTTCAGATCAAGCTATAACATATCAGTAACGCAGCTACTGTACACATCACCAGAAAACTACTATTTTTTAATGTTTCTCCTCTCTTCTTACTCAATTTTGGGTACTAGAACAATCATAAACATTCTTCAAACAAGATGCAAGTATTTTTGATTCTGTTTGACAAATCCTCTTGCAAAAGTAAAATAACTTCCTTAATAAATATCTGATGGATTTTATTGCTTCCTTATAAACATCATTTTTAGTTTAATTACTTTTTTAGTCTGCTTTAACTAGATATCTAACTAACTAATCTAGCTTTTAAGGAGTTTGCGAAAGTTTGCCTAAAATAACATTGGTAAATAATATATGACCCAAAACTGCTTCCAAGATGGAGATCTGTCCAAAGAGCACGTTCCCGATTTATATTTCATGTCATTTTTGGTTGGTCCTCTTTAAAAATGCATGAGGCTAGACCCAGTTTTTTTTTGGACAAGGCTGTTCGTGGGTAGTCTTGACTGAAATCCAAGTAAATCTGCAAAATGATTTCAGACTTAACAGTGCAAGTGAAGTGTGAAAAGCAGCTCCGCCACAGTATTCATTTCATTTGGATTGGATCGTTCACTCCCAGGTGCCCTACAACAACACTACAATGATATTACTATTGGATATATGCTTTGTATGTGAATGGATGTGGTGTTAAAGCAGATGCTGTTTTATTTTTGTCTGCAGTTGAATTTAAAGGCACTATACCAGAATTTTTATTTTTTTAAATGTGAAAAACAAGACTAGTTCATTTTAAACTGTTTACAGTGGTCCAAATGTATTGCTTACTTATCAAATGGATTCCCAGCATTCTAATTATTCAATGTGGCCATTGAACATGAACTCTGTGAAAGTGCTTATCACAAGGAGGTCAGAGCAGAGTGCACACTTCCTGTTATTCAGAGAATATATATATATATATATATATATATATATATATATATATATATATATATATATATATATATATATATATATATATATATATATATATATATATATATATATATATATATATATATATATATATATATATATATATATATATATATATATATATATATATATATATATATATGTGTGCACTTTAATATGTACTTACAGGATAATGGGTATGGCTGGTACATTTATATGCAGCAACATGTATTAATTAGCACATCTAGCAGTGCCTTGGCTAGCATATGCTTTTTACCTTAAACTACTGCTAACTGCTACTATCACAGTTGTAACTACTTTCACTAGCCCACTATTACTTTATATTAATATTTTACCTAGTTTTCAGGAATTTTATATTATTTAGCATCTTTTAACAATAAAAACATAAGCTTTATACCACACTGGAACATTCCAAGTAAAGAAATATCATATCCAGATAAGCAGTTGGCAGAAACCCTACAGACAAAGTTATATTATGTACCTTTAATACATTCTTGCATTAATGTTTTGTGTATAATTTGCAGGTCCTTCAGGCCTGATTTCGTGCTGGTCCGGCAGCACGCCTACAGCATGGCTCAGAACGAGGACTTTAGGAATCTGATCATTGGTCTGCAGTACGCCGGGGTGCCCTCTGTCAACTCCCTCGACTCCATCTACAACCTCTGTGACAAACCCTGGGCGGTGAGCTCTTCACTGCATAGGCCTTTTACTCCTGTGTTCTAAACCACACATGATTTACAGTTATATTTCTTCTGTGCTTTAGTTCTCACAGCTAATCAACTGTCAGAAGAAGATGGGCTCAGACAAGTTTCCTCTCATCGATCAGACCTTCTACCCCAACTACAGAGACATGGTCAGTCTGTTTTTGCGCATTTTCTCACAACAGTTATACACATTTTACCTGACATTATCACCTGGCATGACGAGGTGGTGCAGCCTCACAGCAAGAAGTTCCTGGGTTTGATTCTCTGAATGTGCAGGGCCTTTCTGTGTGGAGTTTGCATGTTCTTCCAGTGTTTTCTCCAGTTTCCCATAGCACTAAAACATGGCTTCTCTGAAAATGACAATCTCAGTGGGACTTTTAAGAAGAGAAAGAGAAAAAAAAAAAAGCTGTCCCAATTCCCCAATTTTACTTATTATAGTACTTATTCTAATCTCAGATTATGTTTTATGACAGTACATTTTAAAGGATTCTAATCCTACACCTTCCGTTCAGGTCCATATTTATGAATTATTAGAAGAATTCTTACAAAAAGACAACTTTGTCTAATTATATATTATAATGATCTCTAAAACCAAAAAAATGAACAGTGTTTAAAAATTTATCTCTTAAAATCATATAAACTTAAATATTGCCACCATTCAAAACATAAATATTTGAACTATCTGTACCCCCTTCCGCTTGTCAGTGAACCTCCATGAATCCTATCACTCTTCTCCCTCATTATCCCTAAGTGTCTTGGAGAACTGCCCCTGTTTAATTCACAAACTAAATAATACTCCTGGCACTTGGGCTGTTAATGGCCCGTTTAAAACTGTTCACTCAGCTGTATCAAGGCCTTCGATGTCAAATCTCTACAAAGTAAAACTCACTACAACTCACACACAAGTTTCCATCAACACATTTTATATACAACATTTTTGGTACAATGAAATAAAAAATGTAGACAGAAAAGAACATAAATACAAACATTTCTTTCAATATAAAACATGAACATGAAGCTGCGGACACATTTTCACACAAGCTTTACAGCCATAATACACAATTATCAACTCGTATATTGTACAGTGATACTGTTAAACATACAGTTTTGTGTTGTTAAGACGTTCTTCATGAATCACTTTAAATCACTTATCTTGACATGTTTAGCTTTCACTTAGACTTAGGCTCTGGCTACACATAAATGAAAGATTTGTGTTTGTGCATTTGGTCTGGATGTGTAAATGCAGTCTAATGACGTTTTTATACATGAAAGTTTTCTCTATTGACTTGAAGGTTTGCCTTAAGGCTCTAAGGATGGATACATTAGCATCTGCCACAGTTGTGATAAAGAGAAGTCATATTGCATGTGTTTAGTTTGCAACTGTTCCTCTTGGTTGGCCAGCATGGATAAATAGTTGTTGAAATCTTGAAATCATCCCATGAAAAGACAAGGGAGTAGTAAATTATAATAATATATGTAGGTGCACCAGAGGCTCTAAAGACACACTGAGATTTAAAGAGCTGAAAACATCCTTGTTCAAGCAAATATTTAGGTGCAGAAAATACACACTACACCCACTCACACTGGGATGTGACAAAATACTTCGAATGAGTTAGTAAAAACCGTTTTAAATGTTAATTTTCACAAAATACAAAATGTACAATGAAAAGTCTCCCAGTAGTCCTAATTTAGGGATAAACTTTTACCAGTTTTACGCTGTTTACAAAGACAGTTCTGTAGATTGATCACTGAAGTTTGCATGACACTTGGATTTCTATAATATACCATACGTATGAACAGAGACATTTTAGGGAGCACTGCAGACCTATAGGAAACATCATATGTTGAACTGTAATAACAGTTATGGCAGTATTGCTGAGCTCTTTTACTTTTAAAGGCATTTGCTGCAGTTTCTATAGTGTGGTGCATTCAGAGCTCTGGTCCGGTCACAAATACAAACCACAGGAGGTACAGCTGAAAGTGGAGCAGCTCAAACTCTTCACTCTGTTTGAAAAACAAGTCTGAGTCAACAGCTGCACTTACACTGAGTAACCACAGGAGGCCGCTCATTTGAATGTGCTCCTCAGCTTAAGGCTATTTTACCTCACAAGTTACAGACATTAAAACCTTTCAGTCATAAAGTATGAAGCCCTCAGTTTTAAATGTGTGCATCTCACCAGGTCTCATGGGTCAGTGAAGTCCTGGAAGTCCTTTTCTGGGGGCGGTCCCCCTCTGTACCAGCTGCAGCTGGATTCAGAGCGGCGGATACAGGCGTACTGCCGTGCCTGCTCCCCATTCAGACTGTTGTCCAGCGGCCAGTCTGTCCACTGGCACTCATGGTCCCCATTGGATGCACACGGCACACTGTAACATGTGTTGATCTGGAAGTGAGAGAGCAAACTACTTTAAACTATGTACAGGACTGTTCAAAGCATTACATCTGAATTTGTTGAACTTATTTTACTGAGACTCCTGCTGTTAGTACTATTGCCATGTGCCCACTGCAGTGTTACCCACTCTGCACTCGCAGCCCATCTGGTATCTGTAGTTCAGGTTCTTCTTCTGGGATAGTGACAGGTTGTCCCAGGATTCCACAAGGTCACACTGACCAATCGAAATCCTGCCGTCACTCCACATGCTTCCTGTGAGGCCACAACAAACTTTAAAATAACAATATTACATGTTTGAGTTAAAGACATGTCATTTTGTGCTTTTTTATGTAGTAGACAGATTAACAGCAGTGGTTTTACATGTTGTTATGTCAATAGGTGAAAACACAGAATCTCACATTAAAATCTGTAATGACACTGCATTCCCACAGTATTTACCTGAGAGCAGGTATCCGGCCTTGTTGTTAGAGTCCAGTTTGACTCCACACAGTGAGGAGAAGACAGGTGTGTACACGTACTGGATGTCTTTGGCCTTATGAAACCCTTTGAACATCTAGAAAAGGGAAATTAAGTTAGTTTGTTTAAGTTTTCTGTTTTAGTCCAGTCATTGTAGTAGTAGTGCATAATATAATAATGAATTGGATGGGATATTGTGACACCCAAAGTGCTTTACAGACCATTATTCATTCACTCCTTACTTGGTGATGATAAGGTACAGCTGCCCTGGAGCAGACTGACAGAAGTTGTAGTAGTAGTTGTTTTGGCTACTTTTAATTAATTTACTTGGTGGGTCTATATTTTTTGCTGTAGATATTATTTCTTGTGTTGTATATTTTTGGGGCCTGTGTCCACTCTCTCACCTTTATCATCTTGATTTCGTACTGGATCATCTTCATGTACGGAGAGGAGCTGTTGCTAGGCGACACTATCTTCTCTCCGGAGATCTTTGCCCTTATCACTGTCAAAAAAAAAAAAAAAAACACATACATTTACAGCGTCTCCTTCCGGCAAACGACAAGAGGTGACTTTGATTCTGCCCTAAAACATGAAAGTGAAATAAATATAGGATTTTTTTTCTTGTCTTTGTTGGAGACAGTCTCTCTCAATGACACTGGAGCTGTCCCTGCGGAGAGAAGGAAAACCAGAACCCACGCGGAATAACAAGCAGCAGCCCCTTCAATGAACGACCACGATCTGAGGTTTCTGAAGGCCTATAACTAACTAATAACAATATTATCTTTCAGTACTAATTTAGTTATTTTTTAGGATAATAAAAAAAAATAATAATGTTAGATTTGAGTATTTTATTCACTATGTACCTTATAGTGTAACATATAGTGTTACTAAAAATTCAAACTCAAAAGGAATAGGCCCAAATGGGTAACCAATATTTAGTAATGCAATTCTGAACAGGATTTCTTTAAGTAACACAATAAACTTCAAAGATGTGTGCACCAAACTACAGGACCTTACATCTGTTTTGTTGACAGATTTTCAGGAGAGTGACCCCCAAACCACTCCAGCCAAGACTGATTGAGTTTTCTCCTACATGTTGCAAAATGGCCCCTCTAGCCTATCCAGAACAAAGTCTCTCCCCAATAGATAATTTAGAACTGTGCAACTATTATGCCTCTGTGTCCATCATACTTACAGCAAACAATAGTATTAGTCATAATATTAACTCCAAACACGTCATTTCTATAACATGACACTGAGCTGTAGAGGATTGCATTTAATATGTGCTCTACTATTGAAGTGTCCCATGGGGCGCTGGGAGTGACACACAGTTAAACAGCCTGTCAAAGCGCCTAGTGAATTAAACACTGGCTTTTGATTTGAAGGAGGCAATTACACAGAAATGTTGAACTGGGACTTCCTCAAAGGCATGTTGCAATGATGCAGTTTATAGCACCCCAACTTGGACAAGCCAGCAAACAAAAATCTCGCAAAGATTAATTATTGTTTTGTACACTGACCCCTGGTGGCGGAAGTCAATTTATTTTGCTGTTTTTATCTTGCAAGCGTCCTTGAAAACAGTGCGAGGTGCACATATTTCTTGTATACTTATTTTCAACTACATAACCGCATTGACTTTTTATTATAGCACACTGCTTTTGAAATTCAATGAAACTGAAAAGAAAGGTAAGAACGGGCTGACCTCGGTGAAAAGGAAAAAGTGTTATCCGAAGCTTTCTCACCTAGTCAAACAACACATTTTTCAACACCTTTGTGAGAGCAGGGCAGGAGCAGCACAGCATGGCCTGTCAAAATCGGTTTAGATAAGACCGTCCTCCTAACTTGCAGGTGGAGAAGACGAAAACATTCAAGGGAAGTTTTTTAGTTTGTATAGCTAGTGTGTGGAGAGTTCTACTTTAGTGCTAGTAGCTCCACTGTTAGTCCAGAGACATTCGATTATGAATTGTCAAAGGAGGCAGGAAAGACTGGCTCTAGTTCACCATTTTCCGCTGCCTGGGGTTTACAGAGTAGCCTAACAGTATTAGAGAAACAATTGGATCTACAGCACGTCGATAAAGTCTATAGTAAGAATGGGAAGGACCACAGACTGCTGCAATGAAAGAAGAAATTACAAAGTGAACTTTGAACCAATAACTGCCCCTTTTGATGACTGTGTAGTTACAGCTTGTTGCAGAGTTTGTTTTAAGGTGTGCTACAATCTTTATATTCTATCTAGGTTTGGTCATATTCTTTATTTATACTTCTGGAGCAGTGTTTGTCAGACTGTGTTACATGATGCATTGGATTTACATTGCATTATTTATTTACTCCATCTTACCACTTGTGGTAAGATATTACGATTTATGCTATTGGTTTAATGTGACACGCATAGCTCTATTTTAAATGTTTGTCCTCCTTTGGGTAATTACTTGGTTAGAAGTTATAACTACTGTGACAGTGGTATAGTCCTGTTTTAGACCTGGTTTAGCCCCAGTTTAGACCTGAAATAGCACTGTTAAAGATCTGTTGTATACGTGATGGTACTCAGAAAGCAGTGATGCGTGATGTTAAAACTTTGAAAGCAACTGCTCTTGAGGAATGCAGCGTTTGGCGCAGTGGACAGTAGACAGGAACCTGACTGGGTGGGAAGTTTGCATGTTCTTCCCATGTTTAGTTGGCTTTTTTGGATTATCCTCACTAAACAAAATCATTCACCAAATCTGACCAGATGAAGACCAAGATCTGGAGATCGGTCCAGAGGGATGCATGGTTGTTATATAATCCTAATCTTGTTGAAGTACAATTGTAGAGTCCATGTATAAATATATTTTGTAACAGAAGCTTGATGTATGATGAGTTCATGAAGGGTGATAACTGTGAAAACTCTGCTCTAATGGCTCTGGTGAAGAGCCTCTTATTCTTCATTTTCTCCTGTGGTTAAGACAGAGCCGATCACACTATGCGATTTAGCACATTAGCTTTTTTATTGAGACTTCTGAGGCTGTGGAAAAGAAATTGACCAGGGCCTTTGTGCATTTTCTGTTTAGTGAAAAGGGATGGTTAATATGACACATCATTGTCCTCTTTGGGCATTCTTTAGTGGATATAGCTCATGTTTTTCCCTGATAGTAGCCACTAGAGTTGGTTAGTTACACAGTTAGCAGGCCAGAAGCTGACCTGTGACAAACAAACTCTCCCCAAGTGTTTTGAAACATGCCTATAAATGCTTTTCCATGAAGAATTGGGATGTTTGGAATGGAAAGTGAAAGTAAGGAAAACATTTGGTCCATGGCAGTGTCTGTCACAATTTTAAAACTTTAACAATTGGGTAAAGCTCTTTTTTAAATGAATAATGCTTGACTATGTGTGATGTCCATACAAGTAATAAATGATTCTCAGAAAAGTTTACTTCTGCATGCTGCACAGTAGTGTCACCATAATACTAAAATTACAAATCAGTTTCAAAAAGGTATATATCTTGATACCATGATTATAACAAAAATAAATCAATTAAATTAAATCTAGTTTCAATACTAGCCTTTTCTGACCACCCTACTGCACAGTGAGCTGTAACCAGAAATGAAGAAGTATTACTGGGTAAAAGTGGCACCTCTATATCTGTTTTGTATAGAGAAATATTACAGAGCTGAACCATGAGAACTGATGTAGTAAGAAACTCCCCCCTCGCAGATGAATCGTCGCCCCTTGTCATGCTCACAATGTGGACTGTCAGCGGCCTTTTACACGGATATTGTTAGTATGCAGACCATTGGACCGGCCCTATACACATGGAAATGAGTTTGGGAGAGAGAGAGGGGAGAGAGGAGAGGATGGAGTAGCTTCGGTGGTGGCATGGCTTGGCACTGGCCCAAGACACACACAATACTGAGAGGCTGAGAATCTGTCCCGATGAGCTATCACTGATGTTCAGTTTTAACAAAGAATACACCTCCTTCAACAACATACTCAGGTCAAACACAGGCCATGACCTGGGACACTCACTACGTTTACAAACAGGCTCGAGAAGTCATATTACTGTACTACTTAGATTATAACAGAATTTCTAAACCTGGGATCCAGAATACACACTCCAGTACTTAATGAAGATGTAAGTGTGGTCTTTGGTTGTGCCTCTCCAGAATCAATGAGCGATGCACTAATATCTGTAAATCTGAGGGGAAATATGTTTGATTTGGTTCAGAATGGTACATGACCAATGAGCCCTTTTGTCTTGTTTATCACTGAAATAAACAAATCTGTTTGCACAGTTCTGTCTGAATTTGGGATGGGGTGACCAGACTGATATCCCTTTGTGTAAAAAATATAGAGAAATATTCTGGACTTCTGGAAAAAACAATGTGTAAACCCACAAAACAAATATTCACACCAAGTTCCTCAAAATATGTGGGAGTACAACCAGATCTAAACAATGTCTATAGCAGGACTGTTCCAGGTCTGAAAATTGCTACAGTATAGTCCAATGACCAACCCAAAGGTTATAAATAAAGTCTAGTTCTGCATAGGATCTCACTTCTAACCATAAAGTGGCAGTACCAAAGTTTGAGAACCACTAGTCTCTAAACCCATGACACAAATCAGGGAATAGTAATACATTTTTCATTGCCCAGGATAAGCTTGTCTTTTATTATTTTCAACCACTTAAAGTCCCCTTTCTTGACCAGTTCTACCCTCTAGAGTGCTCCATATGTGAACTCTTTTGGTAAATTATTGTATGTGTAAATGCCTAACTTCCAATCTCAATATACAGGGCAGGCCATAATAAATGTCCCTAAAAATTCACTGAAAAAAACACATATATTTTTTCACAGCCAGCCTCTCTTCATGTCCTGGGTTCCACACATTCTGTATATACAGCTGTGACCTACAACAGTGGCCTAAATCGGCTCTGTCCCTGTTAACCCAGATCTGCTTTACAAACCTGGCCCTTTGAACAAGCTATTTATGTGTCCACTTTAGGCATATGCTATGTTCCCTTTCTCTAATCTGATGTCATAATTTCAGATGGAGGGTAAGTGCCTTTACTGAGAAAATTTTCCATTTTGGAAAGACATCTACCAAAATAAAATCTTCAAACGTTGAACCAAATCAGTTTTGATTAGGTCCAAAAACTTGTCACTTTAATCTTGTTGCCTGGCCATCTGAAACTTAAAATGTGTCTATAACTGTCTTATCTTCTGCAGTTTTGATGGTCGGTGGGAGTGATTGACAGATAAATTTACCAAGCAAAGAAACACATGGTATGTCTGCATCAAAACACACATGGCTGCTTACAAAAAAGAAAGAAAAAAAAACGGACAGCAGAAGGAGAAGGAGAAATGTCATCGACTTCATCGGGCAAAGCACTTAAGTTAAAGTGTGTTAGTCTCACATGACAGCTGTTATACAAATAAATTATATGTTTAGTTCTGAATGATATGTTGGGTATTCAAGAGGAAGTGTCTCTTACAATTTAGAGACTAGACTTTATGCCATTTGAATTATGTATTTATTTATATATTGTTATTACAGAGATTCTAACCATGAACCAAATCAAAACATCTGCACTTTTAACAGTCTAAAGTCAAATTCGACTACAGCAACCTTACCTACCCTCTTGCTTAATTCTGAACATAAGACTTGTGAACCCAGCCTCTTCAAAGAGACCCCACTCTACTACAGCACTTGTATCCTGCTCTCCCCTGTGTTTTGGTCGCCCCTCTCCCTCTCTCACAGTCAGAGTCCAGGCCGGGGTCGGTCTGAGTGTTGGTCTTGGACTTGGACCAGGCCAGAACCAGACCAGGACCAAAGGACGAGAGACACCAGAGACACACGGGGAAAGTAGGCCACAGTGTTCAGCCCGCCACGCTTTTGTTCGGTTTGTTTAGGAAGAATTCACAAACCACATTATTGTCATTTACTGCCAGGTGCGGCAAAATAACACAAAATTGTGAAAGAAATGAGAACAGAATACGCCATACACTTCCTGTTGTTTATAGGTGATATTTTGAGGACTTCCAAAAGATGGAATATTTTGCATTGACTTGTTAATTGCCATGGCAACAGTGCTCATTTCTCATCAACCCATGGAAGTTCTACAATTGTATATGTGTATCTATGTAAATGCATAATATGTACTGTATATTAGTAGAACAAATATCTCAACAAATTTACGTGAGAATTTACTTACCAATTTAGTCTTCACAATTCATGCAAAACAAACATTATTACTCAAAAAATACTGCAAAACTTATAAAATTTTCTAATATTTTTGCACCAAATGAATTAAACAAACTAGAAAATAGAAATTAGATTTTCAAACACAAAAGTAGATTTTTCACCACACTGTTTTTGTAAGTAAGACTAATGCAGACTAATATTTTTGACCGTATTTGTGTACATAATATATTTAACAAAGAAAATACACAGTATACAACGATAAAGTTGACTTTTCATAATACTGCTTTTGACAAGTATAGATCTTTGTACATTAATGTTATTGACCACATAAAGCACCGAATGACTATATACATTAGGTTCAATTAGATTATATTTTCAGTGGTAAATCTTGGCTGCCCTTGCTCTCCTCTGTGTTCGGGACACTTGGCCTTGTTTCTACACAGTCAGTATTTTGATTCAAACTCACCGATCTCAGCGCTGCAGAATAGTTGCTGTGGGTGTGCGGGCTGGCAGCTGCAGCTCTCCCCATCCTCCAACAACACCCCCAGAACGAAAAGCACCGCGAGCCCCAAACACGCACTCCGCTGATGGGACATGGCCACTAGTCCGCCTGCCTCTCCCCACTCTCTCTGCTCCTCTGGTCCACCACCGGATAAATAGGCCAACAGCAGCAGCGGCACAGTGGCAGACAGCAGGGGGGGGTAGGAGAGCTCTGCGTAGTCGTGAATTCAAGCTTTTTCATATGTTTTAGTGGCAAATTTGTAAGTTGAAAACGCAGGAGAGGAGTTGGTAGATGCTTCTTCTCCTTGTGGCTAGCTCACAAAGGATGGGTGCTCCGCTGTGGTCTTGAATGCTGAGAGGGTCGGACACAGGGAGCCTCTTATGCATTCAACTATTTAAGCACAGCCTCCTCAAAACGCGCACCAAACAACAGTCCTTCACTTCATTTCTGCCCTCAATTATCGCAATAACTTTTCAAGCGTTAAGCCGGTTTCTGTGCCACATAGGTAGAATCTGAAATGTACTTTTAATTTTGTTGTATCTGCTATCGTCATGTTATTTGCTTATGGTGGTTAATTAGACTTAAAGGTGTGCAGCAATGAAAAAGCTCCAACAGGCGGCAGTAGTATGAATTTAGACAACAATGCTGAAAAATGTGGCTCAAAAATATTTGGATCTTATGGGAACTCGTTGAAGTATGCATGGGACTTACTTAAATCACCAAAGCTCCCAATAAAGAAGGGCATAGCAGTGATATCTGAGCAGTTTATGCGTATTTCCTTTTATAAAATGGCATAGGTCGTGTTTTTGTGACATATCTAGAAAAAAATCTATTCATGAATATTCTTTTGTCTGTGCTTCTGTTTTCCAGATTACAACTCCAAGTTTCCCTGTGGTGGTGAAGATCGGGCATGCCCACTCTGGAATGGGAAAGGTAAACTCTAAAGCAAATTTTTTGTTAGTTTAGTTTATTTGTTTACTTATCATAGACAATGCACATAAAAACATTGATCTACACAAAGAGGTAGTATGCTTGTGCCATGTGGGTTAAAGAAAAATTGTTCATTTTCACCGTTAGTTCCACCTTCATTTGTGCCATTTTAGTGGTCCTGTCATAATAATTAAAATGTTTACATGTCAAAAGTCAAATAAATAGTCTTATTTGTTAAATTATCTGTCTGATAATCTGGCTCGTCAACAGAAATTTGGAGTCCCTGGGCGAGAAGGTTAGTCTGGGTCCCATCTATAATTCATAATAATTAATAGGCAGGTTCCAATTTGGGCCCCTAAGAGCTTGGGGCCTGTGATAACAGATCCCTTTGGTCACCTCTGATAATACAGGAATAATTGTGGTTTTGTGATTTAGTTAGAATACACAGGACAAACAGAAACCCACATTACATCTGGTGCAGTTCACATTATGCCTTTGCAAACAACTGGCTGTCCTTTAAAAGCTGTTAAAAGGACAGTCTGGAATTTTGGACATAGGATCTCACTTCCTAGTGAGCCAGAGTGTTGGAGACGTGTGTAAATATTCCATCCAGTCCTTGTATTTGCAGAGGTCTCTGGTGCTAGGCTAGTGCATGTCAATGGCCATAGTTATCCTGCCACTAAAAACAGTCTTACCCACTCCACAAAGCACCCGAAGTAAATCTATTATTATGCCAGACTGTCGATGTGAATGTCTGTGTCGATAGAATGATTTTAGAAGTAAAACAAACCTAGCATTTGGAGAATTTATGTCTGAGCAGCAGCAGCGAGTTGTACTTCCTGATAGAAAGCTTGGCAGTGGCGGACTGATATCACCTAGCACCTATCTTAATGGCAAAGTAAAATTCCACTGCTGCTGAGAAAATAGTCTCTCAACATGTGAAGATTCATGTGGTGCAAGGTTAGTTTTATTTCAAACATTATTCTATCAACACAAACATTTACATTGACAGTCTGGCATAATAATAGATTCGCTTTGGGTGTTTTGTGGAGTGGGTAAGTCTGTTTTTAGTGGCACTCTAACTATGGCCATTGACATGCACTAGCCTAGCACCAGCGACCTCTGCAAATACAAGGACTGGATGGAATATTTAAAATAGTGTCTCCACTCGTCTCCAACACTCTGGCTCACTAGGTAATGAGGCCCTATGTCCAAAATTCCGAACTGTCCTTTTAAGTTCCTTTTTTCCCAGGTAAAATTGTTGTGAGAATAGCCATGCCTCTTTGCAACAATGGTTTACAGAATTGGCCTATTACCCTCTTAGATCCACTACACAGCATGTGCTTTTAGTTTCATGGTTGGGCTACTCCCCTAATGTTGGCCTTTATATAAAGTGACATTCCTCCTTTGGGAAATGCTCCGGTAACTCCTTAATGGTTTAAACACACAAAACACCCTGGTTTCGGCAGAGTTTGACCTCTACCTACTCTGTGCCTGTCTTTCACTGTCTTTCCTTAGAGACTTGGATGCATTTTAAATTCAGCCCTGTTCGCGCTGTTCGTCTCGTTGTCTGTGAATCGATCTAGAGCCTTGTTAATATTTGGGGCTGAAATCAGAGTGCGATGTTTATGCGATTCCCACCAGCCCTGATCGATCCAATACATCACATTGTGGACAGTTAAATCTGATACAGAGCACTCCAGGACTCCCGGAACATAATCTAAGAGACTGCTTATCGGCCTGTTGTCTTACTTCACTTGAGTTATCCTATCTTCAGACAAATAAAGTTACTAAATTCAAACTGACATGAAAACATCCATAACTCAACAATATAGTTTAATTCAGAATAACATTTAGGCAGAAGGATGAATAGATAATTTTAATGCCATATGGTATAACTTCAAGCAGGTTTTGGACCTTTAGTGCATCTTCCTTAAAACAGGGTTTTAACATATTTTTCCAGAAGCTTGTAGGGATGCAACAATATCCAAATCTCATGATACAATATTTTCACAATATTCATCTCACAGTACGATATTTATTGTGATATTCTGTGGAAGCTTACAGAATTGTGAATATATTACTTTTTTGGCATAATTCAAATAAGTAACATCTAAAAGTGCTTAATAACAGTTATTTCCTTATGTAGATTGGATTGAAACAGAGTAAAGGATCATGGTATATATGTAGTTCTCTCAGTTTTTAGCTTCTGCTACTAAGTTGGCGCACAGTATTTTTGTGACACTTTTCATGAAACAATATCAAGATATTTCGGTTATTGTTTACATCCCTAGAATCTTGTATTGTTCATGTACTTATCTATCTCCATGAAGCAGAATCATTGGCCACCAGCACCAAAACATACCAGAAGCCCCGATTAATTAGGTCTCATTTTATTTGTTGTTTTCCAGGTCAAAGTGGACAACGTGAGTGACTTCCAGGACATTGCGAGTGTGGTGGCCATTACTCAAACCTACTGCACCACAGAGCCATTTGTAGACGCTAAATACGACATCCGAGTGCAGAAGATAGGAGCTGACTACAAAGCATACATGTAAGTTGGATGCAGAAAAAGCAAATCAAGACTGCATTTTCTACTTCATTTCTGCCTAGTGTCTATTGCTGTCAGCCAATCAGAGCCTGTGTATCTGTGTTAGTTTTAAGGACTTGAATTCTGAACTTTATTCTGAAATCTATAGTTTGACCAGTTTCGATTAGGATTTATGTACTTGATGGAAGGAGATGCTTTAACTAAAGGGGCCCATATTACACTATTTTCAGTTGTGTTTTGTTTCATTAACACTCACTCCCTGCATTTAGGTGGAGTTATTCTCTCAACTGAAAACACTCCACCTTGTGATGTCATGTGGTATTACAGGAAGTGTTCCACTGTGTTTTTAAATTCACCTTCATTAAAATAATTTGTATGATTTCATCTCTGGAATTTCTCATCTCTACTGCTAATAAACAAAAGGTAAAAGGTAGCTGTTAACTTTTTGATCTTTGGAACTGTCGTCAGACTAATAATGTCAGATTAATACGTGTAAATGAAACAAAATACAATTCCGGGGACAACTTAACGATGTTATAACATGGCTTAAAGCTCACAAAAGTCAATTTTATGTAATATATGACCTTTAATAATCACATAGTAACATAATAACAGAAATATTTCTTGAAACCGCTTAAATGTTTTACTTTTAAGACCTAGAGAAGCGAGGCTTTCAATCTGCGCTACCAGCCCCTCCGACCACAACCAACACTCATGCACACACACTCCACTTTCATATTAGGCCCAGCGGTCTCCCATCCAAGTACTGTCCAGGCCTAGCCCTGCCTAGCTTCTGAGATCTGATGAGATTAAGCTTTGACAAGCTGGTATGAACACAACTACTTCAGATCCAGATCAAGATTCTAAATTCAAGTAATTTGAATCTAAGGCTAAAAGGTAACATTGTTGTTGAAATGTAATATTTCTAAGATTGATTTTCTATATCAGTTCAATCTGAAGTTTGCCTGTGTTTGATTGTCTTTGTATTATGTTTTAGGAGAACATCCATCTCTGGGAACTGGAAGAGCAACACTGGATCTGCCATGTTGGAACAAGTGGCCATGACTGACAAGTGAGCACCCCGGACTCACATTGTCCCTGTGACACATGACATAATGCTCCTGTCATTGTCCCATTAGTCAGACAGCACTTTGATTTTAATTGAATAATACATAGTGGTAATTATAGGTGAACATTGTGTCATACTATATGGGTTGTGGTTCTCAAATTGTAACAGTGGAACATAAGAGTTAGGCAGTCCATGGCATTATCTTACCTTTAGGGCTTGAATTTTAAAGGCCCTATGCCAAGAATACAGACCTTTTTTTAAGAAAACAGCTTCTTTGTATCCAAATTGTAGTCGTAGGTTGTTCACATTTCATGATCTGCTTTTAAAACCCATTTGCTCTCTGTACCAGGTATAAGCTGTGGGTGGACACCTGTTCTGAGATCTTTGGAGGTTTGGACATCTGCGCTGTCAAAGCCATCTGTGGAAAAGATGGAAACGACTACATCACTGAGGTATGACTTTACGGAGTAGGGTTTTCTATTTAGCCTCATTTTAGTGTTGTCAAGATACTATAATTTCAAACTAGATTTTTATATTAAGGAAAAAGGGCTCACTACTCAAATCCATTTTCAGTACCATGATAATAAAAAAATGTTTAGTAGCATGTGTGTGGCTCAAGACCACTAAAAATACTCAGAAAAGGTCCAACTTTGTCGTATTCATGTTATTTTTCAAGGTGTCAATACTTGTACAGGTGAGTCAGTGAGAAGTAGTAGTTTTGATACTAGCATCAATTAGTATCTGGGTATCAAATATTTGACAAAAATTGCATGTTATTTACAATCAAATGTATATGTTTAACTTTTTCCGTATTGTTGGTTCATGCTGCAAAATTTCCAGAGTTTATGTGGTTTACCTAAGAAGTTTTTTGCCTGTGTGGTATTGATTTAAAAACCAACATGTTTCAGTTTTTAGTATTTGCAGTGAGTTTAAAACCTGGAAAGACTTATGAGATTTTATTAATGATACATTGCCCCCCGGAGTCTGTCAGTCTATAAAAATGAGTGCCACATTGCTAATAGGGACTCATGTCTTAAATTTAGCATGGGTGCCCTGATTTACACTGACCAGACAACTCAGCTGGGAACAACTTTATTGAACCTGACCTAATTATGGAGTTGGACAAACAGCCTGGAGACGGATAGCACAGCGCACACGTTATAATCTTTTCATCAAAGTTGTCCTGAGTAAGCAGACTCTGAAAAGACAGTCTACCTCATTAGCAAAGGTCCCTAACTCTCAATCGGCAGCGTAACAGTAACTAGGAAAGCGATATCGACTAAGGGCTAAACACTGCAGAAAAAAAGTACAGTCAACATTAAACTTCATGTGTGACTGCTTTGCTGTTGGGTTGCAGTTAACTGATTATCTGGCCACTTAGAACCACACACTTTGACAAAACTTTACAGAGACAAGTGGGTTTGGTACTGTAACCTGTAGGGGTGTGCAAAAGTATCAAAATATTGATATATATCATTTAATGTGATGATATTAAGGATTTGCGCGTGACGTGGTAGTCACGTGATTAACTTTTTGGCGGCCATACTGGAGGTCAAGACTGGGATTATTCAGTTTATTTCAGTATAATCATGGCTTCTTTAAAGAACGCAAATGACATAAAATTGTCTGAAATCGCTAGCTCATTATCAGCCATCATTAGAAAGGTATAAAGCGAAAGTCATCCTCCTGGAATAGATTCCGATCTAATTCCGATGGAGCACTTTGTCAGTCTAGATAGATCCAGATATTTACAACTACTTAATTCATTCAACATTGGCCGGGTGAGAAGCATATAAATATTTTGGCAGGATGGTGAGATCCTCCTGATAACAGAGGGGAAGTAGAATGGACTCAGAGCCGGAGTTTGGTGGATAAGGGCCGGGTGGGGGGGATTCCTTGCGAGAAAAATACTTTTGGTATATATCATTTAATTTACTGTAAATCCCTTCTTCATTTGTGTGGAGGTGGTCCTTCACCAGAAATGAAATGCTGACTGCACAGCCGATTGTCCTCAGTGGGCTCCCATCCCTCTCTTTTTATGTCCGCTATCCACCTCTGTCTGCGATACTTTGGCCTCCTGCTTTTGTATCGAGTTATGTATCAGATCAGCAACTTCTTAATGATACCCAGCCCTAGTAACCTGTCCCCCAGATTCTTGAGGGTGTCATTGGCGGGTGGATTAACCAATCAGAGAAAGTTAAAAACAAACATGGCTGTTTCTGCTTAAAAAGGGGGAGTTACACCACCTGCTTGCCTCCAATGAAATGTTATTGCTTTGCCTCGAATGTTCCACAGTATGACATTAAACTTATCTGTCTATCCCTATTGACACAAGCATGACCAATTTACAGGTCAGATATATGCCAACAAATGCAATAAATACAAATTTAACATAAATACATTGAAAAACTCTTGCCTTTCCACAGATCTGACTTGTAACTTAACTTTGGAATCTTACCTACTTGTCTCCACAGAGACAGAAAAGATGAATACTGTGGGACAATCTAAGCAAAGCAAAAATATCTTCATAGAGACAAGCAGGTGACAGGTCCTCTACCAGAAGCAGTGTACCTTTACTGGAAATACAAATGCTAATTTGTCTAAAGAACAAGAACCAGCAATGAATAATACATTTAAAGATGCAATACACACTCAGTGGCCCTTTACTTGCTTCTTAAAAGTATAAATAATGAGCTTGTTTGGTATGCCGTGTCTGTGAAGAAAAATAATATTGGACAAGAACAGAAGCTTTCAGACTAATTAGACTAAGTGGGCAAGATTACAGCAGATAAACAACGTTGCCAGAGTTTGTTGGACTGTTGAAAGCTCTAAAAAGGGGCCTGTCTCTTTGCCCATTGGTTTCAACTGGCAGAAAGTGCAGAACTACCACTCAACAACCACCAAATTATTCTCCTATCCAAATTACAAGGACAAATTTAGATGACATATGGTTTTGATAAATATCCCGTCCTTTGCCTGGTCTACGGATAAACAATATGCCAGTTTGTTGGACTCTCTTAAATGGTTAAGAGGTTGCCCGCCCGGCCAGCCAAAACCACACTCACTGACAGTTATATACTTTAGAAGTATGGGTGTGGAACCAGATTCTGTCTCCTTGATTTCCCATGGGTAGTCCTGTCACAGCAACACATCTTAAAGTGTGATATATTACTGAAAAATATGGACTATAAATGAAAATATTGAAACTAAATATGTCATCTTAAGAGTGATTTTCCCTCACTGAAATACTTGAGAAATGTATGGTCTGTGTCAAAATAAACATTGTGGTTTATGGGCAAAAAAAAAAAGTAAAAAATAACTGAACTGAGAAACAGCATGTGCGGAATCAACAAGCAAAGCAGTAAATCTGAGGTGAAGTAAGTTGTATATTTTGTGTGTGTTGTAATTTCCAAAGTGGCAGTTACCAATGTCCACTAGGGGTGTGCAAAAATATCGAAATATTGATATATCGTATCATTTAATGTGATGATACAGTATCTATATCATGGACTGCTGTATCGATATATCGCCAAGAGTATTTTTTGGTGTATTTTACTAAATTATTTTGTTGTTGTTTAGAGGAAGGAAACTTGTTTATGCAATACATTTGACATTTTCATTGGTTTGAGGAGTAAAATTTGCTTTTTTCATATGAACTTTCCACAAAAAATGGTTTAAAAAAGACTTTTAGTATCACAGTCATGATTTGGCCTTTATTTTTTATTGAACCATATCGAATCGCTTTGAAATATATCGGATCAAATCAAAAGTGCACTGTATCGAGACATGTATCTTATCGTGGGCTATGTATCGATGTATGTATCGTATCGGCAACTTATTAATGATACCCAGCCCTAGTGTCCACAGTTACTAGTGTCTACAGTGTCTACAGAGAATCTTGTTGAAGGAAATGTAGTTAACATAGTTGGCATTATGAGTAAATAAGCAAACGGAAAACCTTCTTAGACAGTCATTCATGACTTAAATGTTTTATTTTTTTTTTTTAACCAAGAACTTGGAATAATGGTTGACCAGTAGGATGAGTGGGAGGAGAAAAACACAGCATAGAGCCTCATTAAACATATTAGCTCTGAATAAACACTATAATAAATAAACCACTTTCGATCTTTCCTGAATTTAGTTATGTAATAATGCATTTTAATACCACTATATTGATCCCCACTTTTTTATGTGCATAGCTTATATTTCTAGATAGTATACTTCACACCCACTTGAGTTTGAGAAAGAAGAATACATTTACAAACTCCAAACTACCCAAATGCTATACTATTTGTTGTTTTGCCTCCAGGTGGTGGGCTCCTCCATGCAGCTGATCGGGGATCACCAGTCAGAGGACCGGCAGCTCATCTCGGAGGTGGTCTTGGCGAAGATGAACCAGGCTCTCGCTGCCAAAGCCTCGGCCTCGCGCTCTCCTGCCCGCTCGCCTCAGGGCCAGAAGCCAACCACTGTGCAGCCCCAGCAGGTACGTTTTTCTTATGCTATTCCCCCAGGTAGCAGAGGAAACAGTGCTCACAGTCAGAGGCAGGCTAGTTTATATGAAAGGTAGCACTACTTACAGGCGGGCAAAAGCATTGGGACATTTTCGAACTAGGCTGTGTACACATGCATTTATTCATTATATTAAAAAGTGGTGCTGGTGAGATATATGGCCTGTCACATTTAATATAATAATAATAATAAGAAGAAAATACATTTATTTCTAGCAGTCTTTCTAATCCCTCATGGTCACAGAACAAATTAAAAACAGGTTCAAAGAAGCAATAATTAATGTCTATATTCTTTAAGAGTGTATATGTTAATAGTAGCTTCCAGACATTTTTATTATTGCATTGCTGTTATAAATAAATCCCACAGTATGGCATTAAATGTATCTATCACTTCTCTAATGAGTGCTTTTATTGTTCAGAAATATGCATTCAAACTTTGAGCGGGGTTGCCTCTCCACAGATTTGACCTGAAACTTGGTCGTGTAGCAGTTTATTGCTATTCAGAGGAAAATTCTAGGCAAAGCAATATTTTCATAGAGATGAGCGAACAGAAAAGTTACATTGTGCCTTTAACTGCTCAACATTTACGAAACATTTTGGATTACAGTTGAGCATGCTCTGTCTAACTATCTAACTAAAATTGCATTCTTGTTTCTCTTCTCTTACAAACTCCAGAGTGCTCCGCCCAAAGAAGGACTGGCAGATCCCAACAGGACCCCAGCACAGCGCCCCCAGCCACAAGGTCTGAGTACTGCGCTGCACTGAAAACAACAAAATGTGCCAAGAGTTGTGTCATACATTCCTAAAATCGCATTTCAAAAGAGATTGTATTGGTTTTTAAAGGTCCTTTATTATGCAAAACACAGTATTTTGTTTCATTTGCTCATCTTGAGTAATTCAACTAAATCTGTCACCCTCCTGAGAGCCCAAAGTTATTGATGTCCACCTCTTGATGCTATGTGCTGGCAATCCAATATGACTCCTCAGTGTTTTTAAATTCAGTTCATCTTAATCAGTGTTACGATCATTTCAGCAGCCACATTTCCTTCACTGTGCAGCTAATCATTTTGATGTCAGCAGTTACTGTTTTTAGATAACTGCTTCACTCTACAGTCCACCAGCAGTTGAAGTCCTTCTGATTTCTCCTGCTATTTTGTATTATAAATAATCAACTGCTTGCTTCTGTGGAGATGTTAGTGCTTTGCCTGAAATGGTCCACAGTGGCATTAAACACATGTATCTCGGTTTTATTCAGCCACAGGTGTTATTATTGCTCAAAAATGCCTTGATAAAACATGCATTCTCATGGTGGCAAAATCATATTATCTCTCTGGAGAACTTTCACCCAAAAAGTTATATAGTGCATCTTTAACTTGTTTTCCAGACACACTGTGCTAATTTGTGCAAATGACAAAAGCCATGGTGCTAAGTAGTTTTAAAAGAATGCATAATATAGGACTTTTAAACAACTTAACCAACTTCTGAAAAACTCCATTAAGATGTCACTGCCAGTTAACATTTTGCCTTACATCTGCTGTGCTAATTTAACTTGTGAAACATGCAGTGTTCGATTTTAACTGCAGTTAGTGTAGTGTACTTGTTCCCATGGTGATATTTGTGCGCAGGGCTAAATTAAACCTACTCCCTAGAATTGATCAAAGCCATTGTTAGTTGTCCACCAGTGACTGTGTACGCATGATTTATTTTCTTTAGGGAAATAATTTATGGATTTATGTTGCATGATGTGGTAATTGCATGATCTATGTGTTGTGATTATGAGTAATATTTTTGTGTCACTTAGAAATGCTTGAAGTGGGATTAAACACCTTTCCTTCATCTGCAACCACATTTCAAATAGAGCTGCTAAACTGCGCAGTACCTGAAGGATTAAAGAAAAGAGTGAGGGGGGAGGAGGGGCATGGTCTTGACATATGAGGAACAGTGTGATTGGTCTAACAGGTATCAACAACGCCCCTGCAGCCAGGTATTTCTAATCAGAAACTGGAATCATGGCAGTCCTATGTGATGTCACATTGTACAGTTTGTTTTTTTTTTTTACAGTTTTTGAAACAACGCAGCATATTTACATAGTTTGCACTTAAATTGCCAAGAGAATGAATAAGAACTGTAGACAATACTGTTATAACACCTGTCATGTACACAGGTTAGTAGCGAAAAAGGTTGATTTAGTGTTTAGTTCCACTTTAAGCTCGGGATATTGTGAAGGAAGATGTGCCTACAGTGGGACATGGCCTTGGTTTCCCTGAGATAAAACTATTATTGTCCAGGGAGTGTTGTGCCTATTAGACAAGCTCCTGCCTCTAGTGGCCTTATAGGGGATAACCGGTAAAGTGAAATGTATGAATAAATAATGGGACTGAGTCACACAGGTACTAAGCCTAATTGGTAAACAAAAGAAATGGTTTCAATTCCCAACTGCTAGCTATTCCATACATACTGATTGCATCTGGACCCTGTACTCTGAAACTTGGTAAGGGGTATTTTATTATTCAATTAGGGACATTTTATATATTATAAAGTTGTTTCACTTTAAGTAATTTTCTATAGAAACCTTCCAACTTCAGGGTACTGGTCCTTTAAGTTGTTTGTGGTTGATGTATAAAATGTGAGATTAACCATTGTTTTTCTATGTGGGCATGACCTTTTGTAACTTGCTTGGATTCAAACCATAGACTTTTCTCAGGTGGTTTTGTATCCATGCAAATATCAACTGTCACATTTTATTTCAATTATGTTTTTGTACAAATCCTTTTTTTTCTTTGGTTTTTGTGCGTTGTGAGTTCAAGCAGTCGTTAGGATACATTATGAAAAACTTTCTAAACGTAAGATTCTCAACCTGGCTGTCTGACATCAGGATGAGTTTTCATAAAACATTCTCAATTGATATTGAATCTGTTATAGTGAAAATATTTAATCTTTTTGTAAACAAACCCAAAATATGCATGGTTATATTGAAGATATGCTATTGCATGTGCAATACAGATGAGCCTAATACTAATATTTATAATAATACTAACAGCTAATATAGATTAATAAACTTGCCATACCATATTGTACGTAGTATATTCAGTGTTGTTGTTGTGACTGCAGCCTTCCTCTGTGCAGTGCCTCTGAATCTGCAGGGTGAGCTGAGGACACTCACTGACTATTTAGCTTTGCCTTTTTCCTTTTTTACTGATCAGTTTTGACAACAACATAATAGAAAAACAAATATGTGTGTTAAAATTATATCTAAAATTAATTATTACTATTATTATTATAAAGTCACATCTTTCTATGAAAACTCATCCTGCCTTATCTCCTCTGTTCTCTGCATGTGAATATGTTTGTGCATGTTTGACTGAATCTTGTTGAAGCCTCCTACCACTGATTTGCACTGTTTCTTTGAAATAATTGGCTTCACTGTTTCAAGTATCTTTTGTGCACAGAGCAACTAACATTGGGCATGATAGGCGTGACAGTAACTGTGGGTCTGCTGCCCCCTGCTGGTCTTTGTAGTTCAAACATGAAAATCTGCTCTAGAGATTTCCTAAGGGATCTGCTTCACAATTGCCAGGATCCTCAGCCAGTGGGAAAGTACATTCATTGCTACATTACTTATGATTTCTATAAGGTTGTGAAAGTACACATCTCCTGGCCAGTTTATTGACTTTATTAAATGGAAGTATGGAACTGTTCCATTTAAGTAGAAACCTTAATTCCATCTTCAAGGATAACATATATTTTGTTCTTTATCTTTGGTATTTTTCCTCTTATTTTATTTACTTCCTCTCTAAAACACATAAAATTTAATGTATTTTGAAGACTCCAAAAATCACCTCTGAGGGCTTCACAGAAAGAGTTATTGATGAATTTACCACTAGTAGATTCAGTCACAGGGCAAAAAAATGTTTTGCTCAGAATTCTGGTGGGACACTGCCTTATGTCAACAGTCACAGGATAACTATTAAGAACTATTCCCAAAATGGATCTTGGTGATTGTGAAAAAGCCACTATTACAGTTACTGCAAAATGTTTCTTTGTGAATTGGCACTTGAAGTAAATTGTGCATCATGTACTGCTTTTGAAGATTGTCTTTGCCTGTTTTACTGCTTACTTACTGAAATAAAAGCCTTCCTTAAACCTAAAATCATATAATCATTCATCATATTTTCTGCTTTTTAGGTGCACCAATCAAGTCCCAAAGTGTAGACCAGTCCTCTGAGTCTAAGCGGGCAACTGAACCAAAGTTTGTCCCTAAACCGGCTGCAGCTCAGAAACCAGCGCAGCCCCAAAAACCTGCTCCAGTCCAGAAGGCAGCGTCAGTCACCAAGCCCCCTGTCCCACGCCCCCCTCCGATGACCAGGGCTCCGTCTGTCTCGAAACCTGCCCCGGAACCACCTGTCTCTGCACCTGCCAAGCCTGCACCATCCTCACCTGCCAAAACAGCTCCCGCATCGCCACCCAAATCTACCACAACTGCACCTGTCAAACCCGCAACTACCACAACCCCAAAACCTGTTCCATCTTCAGCCGTAGAAGCCCCCAAAACACAGGAGCCGGCCCCCGTGTCTCCTCCCACCACAGAGCAGCCCAAGCCCCAGTCTCAGGGCTCTCCGTTAGCCGCACCAGGGAAACCCAAAGAGCTGCCCCCAAAGCCCACCCCCCCTGCCAAGCCCATCCCACCGGTGCGCAGGAATTCCAAGCCACAGCTCCAGCCAAAGCCCCAGACCCCCCCTCCCCCCAGGGCCTCACCTAAACCCGCAAGCCCCGCCCCGACTGCTACCCCCGCCTCCGAGACCACCGACAACCCCCCTGTCACTGCACCTGCCCCCACACCTGCACCCGCACCTGTCAGCCAGTCCCCTCCCAGGGTCCAGTCTCCTGCCAAAGCCCAACCAGAGCCAGCATCGCCCCCTCAAAACACAGAGCCCGCCCCCGCTGAAGGTGAGGCAGCAGCAGTGCCCTCTGGTGAGAACCCGGTGGAAGAACAGCCACAGCAAAAGAGCCATCCTCTGCTCAAGTAAGAAACATGATGATTGTTTCAAATCTTTTTTTGTGAAGTGAGTTTACTGTTTTAAATGCCATTAGACTCAGAAGTTTGGTTGCCATTATCTGTGAACAAATTTCACAAACTAGGAACTTGCTTTCACATTATTGTGCAACAGCAAAGAATAAATAATATAAAGAGTTGGGTTTTTTTTTAAGCAGTACACTGCTGTGTTCTGTCTGCATAATAAAGTATTTAATCTGGAAGAAATAGCTGTAAGCATCTGTTGTAATAGTCCAATGAGATTCATTTGGTCTTCCGATATTCTATGTTATTAGGTTCTTTTTTTCAGACCTAGAGTGTTATTTCATACCTGACAGTTTCGACTGCTCACTAGCGTCTTCCTCAGAGTGGTCAAAACTGTCAGGTATGAAATAACACTCTAGGTCTGAAAAAAAGAACCTAATAACATAGGACATCTGTTGTAAAGCCAAGAATGCACAGGAAAATTCATGCATGTGAATATTAACAATGCACCAAAGGGGTAGATACCTTCTCCTTTTGCAGTTTGAGAATCATGTAATACATCTTATGTTTGACATAATTATATTACCGGTACATAAAATATTATAATTAGATTTTAGCTATCACTGTGAATATATAATTATTTTCTATTTTCTTTTTTCTCCCCTAGTTTAACAGATTGAGGTACGTTCAAGGATCTATTCTAAGATCTTATCAGTCACTTCTTTGTTTAGTAGGGGGCCCCCAAACCTCATTTTGCATAGAAAACCTACAAAGCTACAAACAGCCTTGGTTGTGAAGTTAATTTAAGCAAATTTTGTATAACCTTTTGTGATATTAGTTCTAACCTTTGTGATATTTTTCCTCTTTCTTTAGTAAGTCGCAGTCTCTGACCAACGCCTTCAATGCCATCAGTGACTCCTCGTTCTTCCGCAGCGTCTCAGGCTCGTCCGGGGGGGAGGGGCAGGAGGAGGCCAAAGCTGAGACCATCCGCAACCTACGAAAGTCATTCGCCAGCCTTTTCTCTGACTAAACCGGTCCAGCTCCTTTTCACTCTGGCTCTTTTCCATTGTCCGGGGATGACTTGATAGACTCTAAATGTGAACCAGTCTGAGATTACGCCCCCTGCTGTGTGTTGACTGTACTGTACTCCCTCTGTCCCGCTCATCTTCATGTTAAACGTTCAGGGCCTCTGGGTAGGATGTCCTAAGAATGAGACTGTAATTACACTGGGACACTTAAAGGCATATTCTGCAGGGTTTTTTAATATCCTACTTGTGGCAGAGTGGTTAGCATTGCCTGCCTTATTAAGATGTCTGATTATAGCTATACCATATCCATGTGTATCCCAGATACTATACAGACAATGTATTGTTTAGTTGATTCATCTAAATAGTTTTTGTGAATGAAGGTGAGTGTGTTCAGATATCATGGGTATATAAATCAGTACAACAAACTCTTGCATAATATGCCTTTAAAGGTACACTTTGTAACTTTTAGTGGGCATCTGCCACCTTTTCAGGGAGATGATATTGTGTTTTCTAGAATGTTCCATAGTATGGCATTCGACTCATCTATCTGGAAATTATTCAAAGACAAGTGATTTTACTCAAAAGTACATGCATTCTTTTTGTGAGTAGGGTCGACTCTCCACTGATGTGACCTGTGGCATGGCCTGGTGGCATAACATCATTGTTTTCCATAAAGAGTTTAGTGCCATACTCTGGAGCACTCCAGGCATAGCAATAATATCTCCATGGAGACAAGTAGGTGACAGAAAAGTTACATAGTGTATGAAAGCGTGAAAGAGTAAAAATCGTAAAAATACACATTTATTTTTAACAGAACTCAGTATAAAATATAAAGATATATATTTAACAGATTTATGTCTATATATGGATTTTAAAATAAACAAAACTAATGGAGATAAGCCAGTTATTGAAAGCCAGTAGCACATCCAGATTTTGTCATTCAGTGGGAAAGATTACATAAGAATATTGAAATCCATAACAAGTACTCAAAGTGTTGTATCTAAGAAAACTGCTTGTACAAATCAGTGTCTTCTCTGCTGTTGACCATTGAGCTGACCACAGCTCGCCCCCTAGTGTCGTGTGAGGGAGTTGGACATTTGTGTGTGTTTGTCACTGTTTGCATGGCTCCATTGGGGGGCTCGATGTGAGGAAAGTTCTATCAATGTTGAGTTTGGGCCCTGCGTTGCCTCGCTCTCTAGATGTTGTAGCCTTATTGTGTACATGTTTTTCGATACACAGCTGCGTGGTTAGCTGTGCAGACCTGGGCTTATTGCCACATGCATTCATCTACTCTGAACTGCAGTCTCGAGCTGGCCAAACGTACACATACTATTTAAATTGCAAAAAAAAAAAGATCTGTGCCTCTTTGTACATTGGATATTCAGTCTTACATAAAATCTAACCAAAAGTAGAACTGTTTAACGATACATTCTGATCAACATTATAATGGTCATATTTTGAGTAATAAGAAGGGTTTCTTTAGGGTTTCTACTCACATCATAACTACTATGTGCTTGATATATTTAAATGTACACTATGTAACTTTTCTTCTTGTCTCCATGGAGATGTTACTATACCTCGACTATTCCACAGTATACTATCTAGCATTTATTTAATTACAGGTATTTTATTGCTCAGAAGTACCTTAAAAAACATACATTCCTACTGTGTGTGGTCGCCCTCCCCAAATCTGACTTGGCATCAGTTGCTTGTCTCCACGGAGACAGAAAGGTTTAAGGCCACCAGAAAAGTTACATAATGCACTTTTAATGGGGACGTGTAAAGGTCTGCTTTACGACTTCTTTAATGCACAGATTTTTGACATTCAACCTTGTTTTTTGTATTTTTTCTTACAAGAATACATTATAATCATTAATCAAAGGGAAAAACTAAGTTTTGACCTCATCTATGACATAATCTCATTAAAATCTGGTGGAGTGATGATGGTGCTAGATGCAGTACTCTGGAGGGGTGGTCTGGTGTTGACAGCAATGTCTCCCAATCTCCTTCTTTCAAATAGGAAGTGAGCATGAGCACGCTTCCAGGTCCATCTACTACAGATTCAATTCACTTTGTAATGAAAAACTTGACCCTGGCAGCTGTTGCTTACAGGCTCCTCATTTTGGATTTAAAATGTTCATATTAATCCACTCTATATGATCTTGATGTTTTTATTCCACTATTTTATCTGTAAATCAATTCCTATTTCTATGGAACTTATTTCTAAATTTGCCCCATAAATGCTAGCCTTGGTGAGATTCATTTGATTGGAGCCAAACTCTTCTTCCCTCCAAAAGGGACTATCCAATCTCCTGTGTTTTGGTGCTGTTTTGTTATATAGAAAACTGAAATTTCTCTTCAAAAATAATTGTGTACATCTTGCCAGCTCTTGTGTCTAATCATGTCCAGATTGTTGCAAGTACAAAAGGCCTAAGTATGTGAATGCATTTGTGAACTCATGTCTGTGAGTGGTGCTTTCTTGTTTCACCTCTGTGTAGATCTATCAGCAGTATTGTATTTGTTGACTATGCTCATCTAAAGACATTGAGACAGTTAGTGCAATAACATCTCCTCTACATGACTGTTTTGAGCGCCTAACCCTAATATGAATATAAATATGGTCATTATTAAAGCTGTGTATCTGTTTGACACCAAACCATTTCTGTACATTCCCTTTAAGGTTCCTTTGCAGTGGTCACTTCTGACTCCAGGTTGCATTTTGCCATACTTTTAAAATGCTCTGTGCACTCTCTATGCATGGTAGACTCAAAATAATGAAATGTTGACCTTAAATAATTATATATAATGTAATCTTGTCCATCTAATGCTATTATAAGTAAGTACATTTTGTGGTGGAGGATCTGCTACCTGCCCATTTCAGTGGAGTTTTTATAGCTTGTCATATTCCACAGTATGGCATTAAATCAATCTGGATCCCATAACACATTATTGTTTTTATTGTAAAAGATACACAAGATGTTTTCCTATATTTCCTACAGTAAGCGAGGTTGCCTCTCCACAGATCAGACTTGTAACCTAGCCAGGTGGTGTCACCTTCTCTTCTCCATTAAGCTTAATGCCATATTGTGGAACATTCCAGGCAAAGCAATGAGAAAGGAGCTGGCCGATCCTCCACCAAACAAGTTACATAATGCATGTTTAAATCAATCCACTTAGACATTCACAATAATAATAATAAATACATGAAATGATACATATATTTAAAGTACACATTTCATTTTCTGAGTGCAAAAAGAGTAACCTGGACAACACTTCCACAGGTCATCTCCAGTTTGTGTCTCAAATTCTCCATCAGTTGTCAAGATTCATGTTGCAAGTAAATGAAAGCATATTGTATCTGTGTGTGTGTGTGTGTGTCATCTCAGGAGTTTATTTTTTGTAAAATTTCAATTTATTTATGTATTTATTTTTTTTAGCTCTATATTTATTGTACTATTGTTTGTTCAGTAGAGTGTTTTTATTTGTAACGCAATACCGCTTTGCATGATCTGGTGACCAATAACCTTATTTTTCTGTACAGATGAAAGTAAATAAACATGTGATTCCATCAGCGGATTGTACCAACATTTCTACACACTTAACAAATTATCATGCATAAAGAGAAATGCTACAATGCTACATCCAAGAAGCTGCTGCAATTCAAAGACGCAGACAGGAGGTGGCACCATATATTAGTAAAATGTGTGTATGCTACTGTGCTATGCTGAAAAGATACCTATATAATGGGTGGTTCGTCTTGAGATATTTTAATACCAGTTGCATCAGATTCACATGGCTACTTCACGTGCAGGAAAAATACTGGCCAACTACATCTCTTTTTGAACCATCACAATGAAAAAATAAATAAATAAACTTTAATAATATTATTATTATTTATTTATTTTTTACATTTTATTTATTTATCTCTACATTTTTTCAATTGTTAGCCTGGACAATATGACACAAAAACTTACCTTGATTTTTTATTTTTTTTTGCCTCATAATGATCGATCACAATATTCAAATTGATTTTATTTTGTCTCAACAAATAAAAAATACCACTGCTTTTCAATGTCATTGCAGTCTGAACTCTGAATTACTATGGACAGAGGATTGGACCAAATCATATCATTGTTGATTAGAAACTACTGAAATCTCAGTGCTGATTATAATATTGTTAACTGCACAGCCCTCCTTCTTCTGCTCTAACACAAAAACTAATTCACAAATTTGCAAAAAAAAAAAAAAAAAAAAAAAATGCTGTCATGAAGTATTCAAATACAAACTCAGATCTTATGTATTAGTAGTCAGAGAATTTGTATTTTTGTGTGGGAACTGTCTCATCGCTCAGGGGGACTTGTACGTAGGCGTAAATCCACCAGAACAAGACGATACAATGAGCAATCCTTTGTTTGTTTTGGTTCTTTTCCCAAAGTCATTTAGCCAGACACTCAATAGAGGACATCTAAAAAAAATACCATAAAAAAGTATTAGTTTGTCACAAAATTTCAACAACTCAATATTTATTAAGGTGTGTTTTGTCAGTGCGTTTTACATTGTCAATATAAAAATTCCAAATGAGGGGTTATTTTAGAATGAAAACACAAGCGCTGTCCAACTAAACAAAACCTCTGGGACTGAACTGTCTAAATATGAGAAATGATGGCTTCACATTGTTTGCCAAAGAATAAGTCAACATTTATTTTTTGAAGAAACTGAGCACGGGGAGGATGTTAAGAAGCATAAAATAGCAAATAACTGTTATGAGTATGGTCTGAAAATGGGAGTTGGGTGCATTTGAGTTACATAGATCAAAGTCAGCACAACACAGCAAGAATAAATGGGTTCTTTCTGGCCTGAAATGACCAAAGCAGCTTATGATGTTATAAAGTAGGGTAGGTGTATACTTACAGCCTGTTTCCAGAAGTCTGTGAATGCACTCACTAAAGCTTTACAAGGTAAATTAAAGGCGGTGTGCATACACTCTTAAAACAGAACTAGTTCATTTTAAACAGTTTGCAGTGGTCCAAAATTATTCCTCACTTACCTTATGCGTTCAGAGCGCCCTAATTATTCACCATGATGAATTTATAATTGATTTTCACAATTCTTATAAGCTAATGGGGAGTTTTGGCATCACAACTAGCCTATGAACCGCACACTGAGTCTTGGACAATAAACTGCATAATTTGTTGCAGGTAGGCTTATTTTGACAATATATATGTACTGCAGCAAGACAAAATTTGTTCAAATAAATGGAAATATATTGGGTACAGGCATTTGTAATGAGCCAAGATGCGTTCTCACATAACACCACTTGATGTTACCTATGTTGCTGCGTTCTGATCATGTACCAGCTTTGACCTGATAAAAGAAGAGCAGAGAGCGCAGGTGAGGGTTAAAAAAATGTGATAAAGTTACAGATGGTAGCTTTAAATGTATAATGTGTGTCTTTGCCTTTACCTCCAGAGGGTGTAAGTCTGTAACACAAATGACACCACATTTCAATGGACCATAGTGATACCACAAGAAATCTGACAAGAGGTGCACATGCTGAGATTAGCTCATGCATTTGAACGCTTTAATATATCTTAAAGGGACAGTTTGGAATTTTGGACATCATTTCCTACTGAGCCAGAGTGTTGGAGACATGTGGAGACAATTTTTTTTTTTTATATTTGCGGAGGTCGCTGGTGCTAGGATAGCGCATGTCAATGGGCATAGTTACCCTGCCACTAAAAACACTCACTCCACAAAGCACCTGAGATAAATCTGTTATTACACCAGACTATCAGTGGAAATGTCTGGGTTGATAGAATAATGTTTGAAATAAAACTAACCTAAGACGTTTAAGCCGTGACTCAGCAGATCCGAGGGACACGCGCTGATTGCACCCACATATCCGCATTTACATCACGCACCACCAGCACTATAGATAGGCCTTTATTTACATGTGTTACTATATGAATAATGATACTTATAACTACGAGCCTATTCAAGATCAGGCTACTCTACAAGAGGTCCCCAGCTGTGCGGCTGCAGACTATCTGTACAACTTTAGCCATGTTTAAAAGTCAGGTCTAGATGTGGGAAAAGATAAGCAGATAGGCCTACTAGGTGGATAAAGTTTAGCCACTGCCATTAACTAGGTTTTAGCAGAGTTGGATGGCAATTAGGTACATCATTTTGAAAAAGGTGTTTTGAAAAGGAACAAAAGCTTTTACGATTGTTTGTGTATTGTATTTGTCCAATTATATTAACTCTAAAATATAAATCTGATATTACATCACAACCATTTACTCCCTGTTTTCATTAATTATGTCATCAAGTATTTTTTAGGGCACTGCTTTTTACATATATCATATTATATTGCATGTTGAGGGACTATTTTCTCATATATCAGTCCGCCACTGCCAAGCTTTATATCAGGAAGTACAACTCACTGCTGCTGCTCAGACATAAATCCTTTAAAAGCAACATTGGTTTTAATTCTGAAATTATTCTATCAACACAGACACTCACATCGACAGTCTGCTGTAATAATAGATTTGCCTCGGGTGTTTTGTGGAGAGGGTAAGACTGTTTTTAGTGGCACGCTAACTATGGCCATTGACATACGCTAGCCTAGCACCAGCGACCTCTACAAATACAAGGACTGGATGGAATATTTTAAAAAGTCTTCTCCAAAACTCTGGTTCACTAGGAAATGAGGCTCTATGTCCAAAATTCCAAACTGTCCCTTTAAATCAATTTGACCCTTTTTAAACATACTATGTCAACTTTTTTTTTTTTTTTCATTTAAATGCCATGCTAAATAAATGTTTGTATTTTAATTATATCTTTTAATTTGCTTTGAATCAGCGAAAAAGAATGAAATGGAAATGGATGACATAATATACTGAAATAGGTTCACCTCATTTAATGGAAAAACATTTGTAATGATTTGCATTGTTCACTTTCATTTAATAATAGAAGCATTGACTTCTGTTGGGGTCAAACTATGGGTCACTGTCTACTTAAAACAGGAACTTCTTACTTCATAATTTAAAGTTATTTGGAAATCTTTCTCCACCAGATCTGTCTATTCTGTTGGCGCCACATGTTTCTATTACTCACTTTTTCACTTCAGCTTAAGGTCATATGAGAGTTATATCTGTAGTGGATTGTACAAGCCCAGGCTATTTGAGGTCATTTAATGTTGATTTATGGCTGATGCTGAATAGTGTGTAAATGTTTAAATAAGGTTCCACTTGAGAATGATACACTGCAGAGATTTGCTATAGGTTTGGTCCCAGCCTGCAGTTATTACACAATACACGAGCAGCAAAGATATCCACTGATGAGCAAACAACCAATCCCTATCAATAATCTAACACATGTTCATATGTCAATCATCTATAACCACATCATCATATTATAATAATGAAGTCACAATATATTTTATTTGAAAGAAATAGTAGTAGTAGTAATAGATAGTTTAAAAGTGAAATTATGTACAGCGTACCCCACCAGCTTGTCTCCATGGAGATTTGTCTGGATTGTTCCACAGTATGGCATTAACCAAATGATAGTTGTAAGATTTGTTGTAAAAGGTGACCAAAAAATAAGTTTACTGTTGTATCAAAGCAATCCCATCGATCAGGTGACAGACCCTGCACTGAAAAAGTTCCACAGAGCAGCTTTATATGTAAGCCTATCCATTACACACAAGTTGATTTCGCCTGTTTTCTCGTGACAAACTTGTGTTGCTCGTCATATTACATAATCTTTAGCAAAACCCAGATTTCGATATAATGGGTGTATAAGTCAAACTTCATAGGCTTATTTTTGAACAGGCCACCTCGCACCATGCAACAAGGGAGATTGAAGCCTATGTTTACCGGGGAAACCTGACGCCTCTGGTGCGTGTCCTCAGGATCCCGCGGCTCTGTGGAGGGAGGAGAGGTTGAGCTGAGCGGGGAAGCTTCACATAAACAGAGCCCCGGCAGCGAGGTAAAAAACGCTCCATACAAGACAGGCAAAGCGCACGTGGACATCGAAACACACCAAAATAACAGATTCATTTCCATACGGACCTGATAAATTAGCTTCAGGAGGAGGGGGACCCAAATCCGAGACGCACCGTTGAGTTTTGGTGCCGCGCGCTCAGGTAAGAATAACCTTAAATGACCTGAACAATGTGCGGGACAGGTTTGAACACTGGAAAACATTTGAATTTGTAGTAGAGATTTGCATCTTTGTTGAAGTTTACTGTGGTAGCAGTAAGTAGGTTAATTGCAGTCACTTGAGTTGTGATGGGCATATGAAAGTGATAAACCCGTGCGTAAAGGTGATCATTCGGAATAATAGTAATTCGTCGACTTTTAAAATAATTGTATTTTTATAATTGTTAACTGGACTATACAGACAGATGACAAATACCTTTTATAACAAACACATCTTAAACATTCTCTATTTAGAAGCCTACCACCATATTTCGAAATTTATTTTGTTAAAAAGCAGTGTATTTAAAAATAATCTAGAAATAGTGGCCTAGATATGGTTTGACTATTAAAATAACAATAATAATAATAATAATAATAATAATAATAATAATTGTTAGTTGCTGCCCTTGTTCTTTATTCTTTAAATTGTCTTTAAGAAGTTGTACTGAAAAAAGTTTTGCTCTTTTGTATGAGGAGTGGTGATGTGATGTTATCGAAGGGGGCGTGCGTCAACTCAGACAACTGGCACGCAGTCAGGTGCAGTCCACAGTGCGACTGTTGTGTCTGACATGCAAACACCCGGCGTGGATTCAAGCCATCAGCAGAGCAGCTTATCAGGTAGGTGGGACAAAGTAGCGTCTATAGCCTATTGAAGTTATTTAATGAAGGATTTGTAACATTATTATACGTATGCATGTATGAGGGGATGAAATGATTTCGTTTCGTGAGAGACAGGGACACTCTTGGATGTTGCACAACAGAAGTTGGCTGCAGTTGGAGCGAGTGGACGTTTAAGCCGTGACTCAGCAGATCCGAGGGACACGCGCTGATTGCACCCACATATCCGCATTTACATCACGCATCACCAGCACTATAGATAGGCCTTTATTTACATGTGTTACTATATGAATCATGATACTATAACTACGAGCCTATTCAAGATCAGGCTACTCTACAAGAGGTCCCCGGCTGTGCGGCTGCAGACTATCTGTACAACTTTAGCCATGTTTAAAAGTCAGGTCTAGATGTGGGAAAGATAAGCAGTAAGCATTTTTATGAAGCTGTATTTGCTCATTTGTTAATTAGGCCTACTAGGTGGATAAAGTTTAGCCACTGCCATTAACTAGGTTTTAGCAGAGTTGGATGGCAATTAGGTACATCATTTTGAAAAGGAACAAAAGCTTTTATGATTGTTTGTGTATTGTATTTGTCCAATTATATTAACTCTAAAATATAAATCTGATATTACATCACAACCATTTACTCCCTGTTTTTATTAATTATGTCATCAAGTAATTCTTTAGGGTACTGCTTTTTACATATATCATATTATATTATATATATTTAAGTTAGTAACTATAGTCTTACTCCTACTAATATACCATGAGAAATGAGTCTTCACAGTAGCTTACATTTTGGACATTATATTAATTATGCACTTTAAACATAAAAAAAAATCATTACAGTTTCAAAGCATTTTATTGGTATAATATGGAAATGTGCCATAAAAAAATCTAGCATGTGACAAACAAAGGACTTCAAAGTCATGTTGGCACTGGAAATTTTGTCATTTCTTCTTGGTAAATAGTATTTTTTATTTATTATTACACATTTAGTCAGCAATATTATACTTGCACATTATTGTCTTTCTGGTTTCAAAACTGAGCTCAAGTTAGGGCCTGTCCCACAGTCGTCGATATTTGTCATTGCGTTGTATGACATGGCTAATCTGCTGTGTGTGTGTGTGTGTGTGTGTGTGTGTGTGTGTGTGTGTGTGTGTGTGTGTGTGTGTGTGTGGTCCCCTGTATATGACGATGTGTATGGTGTTTGGTGTATGGTGCAGTGGACTCTGGTCATAGTCACATACCACGCTGAGTGTTTATGTTACGTGTCCTCACAGTCACGTTTGACTCAGGCTCCAGGTGACAGACCATCTAACGCCATAAATTACTTTTATCTTAAGTAATAAATGCATAAAAAAAGCATAAAAACAATGTCATCAAAAACTCCAAAAAAGGCCAAACTGCTTGACTTGTGGCTTTGATTATTGAAACTAAAGCTGCAAGATGAATCCTAATTGAATCAAAATCACATTTTGAATGGACGTAATTAGCAAATCTGAAAGGCTGCAAGTATCAGAACAACAAAATTTCCAGTAAAAATGACTAACTCTGTAGTTTAGATCTGTACAAACATGTTTTGAAATGTAATTCTTGTATTAAATCATATTTCATAGTCTTTTTGTCAAATTACAATGCAGATGATATATTAGAGATTATAAATATACATATATAGAGAATGATATGTACTCATTGAGCACTGTTTGAAACTATTCAGAAATGCTTTTTTTTCCCAGTTTGATTGACCTTAAACTTTAATATATGAGCTATTTGAATATTTATTCGATAAACATGTAATGATGATTATAGACTTAAAGAATTTTATTGGTAGCACAGCATTAATTGAATTCATTTGTAAATAGATAATGTTTTGAGTTTGGAATGATACAGGTGGTGTATCAAACCGTGTTTTGTGTAATCCGGTAATCGTGGGCGGCCAATGATCTTCAGGTGGCGGTGGTAACTTTCTGAAACTCTTTTCCATCCTCTTTGATCAAACAATATGCACAGATAGACAACAAAGTAAACGGGGCATAGAGAAAATAGCAGTATTTTTGACTTGATCCCTGTTTTTGATTGACTTGTATTATAGGTTGGGTTTGTAAGGCGAGTTGGATTGACTTTTTATTGTTGTGTCCAGGAGATAGATGCATTTCTTGACAGTGTTGACAGAGTGCAACAAAAGTAGTTTCTATTTAAAATAAAGAGTAAGGAGAGGGACTGTAAATGTGAATGGGTTGTCAGTAATAAACAAGTAAATCCAGGTGTGTGATGTATGAGAGACGGAGGTACAAGACCACAATGAACTGAACTTAGACATATGGTTCAGGCCTGAATGCATTGTCCACTTGTACACGTTTGTGTTGATTTTAGATTGGATTAGGTTATCTGTTTCCAAAAAAAATATTTGTTTTCGTATTCATCACATTATGAGCAAATCCCACTGCTCAGCCTCATATAATGCACTTTACATATGCAAATGTTTATTACCATTTCATAGGTGAAGTGTATCACTTGTGTGAGTTATTGGCATTTTCACTTGCACCACTGACTTTAATTTATATTTAGAATACATGTTTATTTTTGTCACTCACAAAATAGAAATAGAAAAACTTTCCTCCACTGGCCTTTGACCCATATTAAAGACGGCAATATTTCGCTTTTCAACTAATTTCTCTTTTGGCAAAATGTGGAAGCTCCCCATGTCCATTAAACAGGACGTCACTTTGACTCACCACTTACAGTGTGTGGTGACACAAGCAAAACCCCGCCATCACAACACAGCATTAATTATGCTATTTCAGCAATGGCAATAAGAGCTAACCAATAAAATATAATGCAATAGGTGAGTGACAGTGGTGCGATCAGTAAACGCCTTCAAAGCTTCCGTATACTGTCACTCTCTTCCTCCAGTCACAGTAATGTTGCTGCTTATGATTGGTAGCGCATCTTGTGTACAACCTGCCAAATAGCTGGTTTGCCCTAAAAAAAGTTTTAGATGATTTCACATAGCCAATAGCTTCCATTATATTTAAACTGTGAAAAATAGTTTGTATGTATTAAGTTGTCAGAAGGCAGTTCTTAGTTGTATTGTTAGAGTATGTCAGATGATTAAAAGTTAACTTATGTTGAGATTTTAACCATTAAATTGACAGCATTGAAATATTTCACCACTTCATAAGTACACAAAAGCCACAAACCAAAGTTGCTGAGCAGTGCTTCGTCAAGTGTTTGTAAGAAACCATTTCTTGCTGATCTTTCAGCCACAGGAATTTTTATCTCTTAACATTTCATTTCAAACGTACATCTCCCTTTTTTAGTTTAGTTATTTATACAATATCATATAATTTTCTATTTTTATTTCTCAAAAATACTTGGAAACAACTTGGTTTGAAGGTGCAAACCACTTTTCTATATCAGGTAGGTGAGTTTAATGCCATACTATGGAACATTGGTTCATGGAAAGAGGCAGATTGAGGACCTTCCACCAGCAAATTACGTAGTCAAATCAGCTGTAATACCAAAACATATTAAGATACCACAATTTTGGATTGCTATCCAACATGCTGCTGTATTGTTCATTCTTCAAAGCATCACAAGTGTCTGTCAAACTTATTTTAAGCTGTGATTGACAGTAAACGTAGAGTTGAGTTGGGGGTTAAAAGCTTACGAACAATCATATCATTGAGCTCATTGTTGGCTCGCTCCTGTGTGAACTCCTGTACAAATGGCTGTGTCTTGCGTGTCCTCTTCCCGTTGGAGAGGCGCTCATTTCCAGTATGTTCTGTCAATGGGAGTCACATGATTGTTTTGTTGTTATTGTTCGACAGCTCAATACTCCTGCATTTTCCTCTGCTCTTTGAGGAAACTCAGCCCACCTCTCCCTTTTCCTTCTGCTGCCCCTTGTCAATCCAGAAAGTCCTCAGAACATAACTCAAAATATTGTAATAGTGTAGTGTTACTTAGCCATGTCAGAAGAGAGGGTTTGGGTTGGCAGTGGCTCATTAGTGAGAGCAAGGGTTCCCAAACTTTTCAGACTGGGACCCTCAAAATAACTCCAACCGTCCTGGGACCACTATTGTAAATTACGTCAGTTTGTCATGATTTTTCTATAAAAAGAAATATCTGAGTATGTACCAATTACTCAAGATGATTTAACTTGATTTTAGTAGATTTCACCAGACAAGTAAAATGATCTACCGGTAGAATAAGGCTTTTTTTCTTAATGTAAACAACATACAATTTAGTTTCTTATTTAAAGTGCAAAGGTGTTGTGTTCCTTATCTTCAGTGTAACTAGGTGTACTTTCCCATTTCAAGTAGAAAAATACTTGTTCCATTGGTAGATCATTTTGCTTGTAATGTGAAATTTACTCAAATCAGTATAAAATGTTCTTAATTCAAGTCATTTTCACTTGGCAAGATTTTAGTGTTTTGTTTTTTTTGTTTGTTTTTTTTGAGTAGTTTATTATGCAATTCAACCAAATTTCACTAAAATGTACAGTTTTCAATTGCATGCAGTGCGTCATACAGTGTCAACATTTTAAAATTACATCTTCCAAGTCATCTCACGATCCCCCAGCTCATGCCAACCCCCCTTTGGGAACCACTGGGTTAGAACACTTAGGATTCTCATTCAAACTGACTCACTATTGTTGTTGTAGGTAAGACACTTCACCACCTTGCCTCCTATGAATGTGGTGTGTGTACGTGTGTGTGCGCATGCAGGTGTGTGTGCGCGTGTGTGATGTTACAGATTGGCGGCCTCACTTCTACCTCAGAGCAGATGTGGCTACAGATACAGGTTATCATCGCCGGATAGTGAATGAATGAATAATGCAATGTATGGCATCTGATGATAAAGTTAGATAGACTTGTTTTGAAACATACCATGAAATGAAGATTGAGAGGCTGAGGTGGCTGATGGCTCTGCTGCTGTTGAAATGGGATAGAGTAGAGACCAACATAGGACATTTGATGTATTAAACGATCAAGGTGC